TTTCGAAAATGATTAAAAAGTGGGCGTGGCTTATAGGCTATAAATAGGCTTTAAAAGTTTTCGCCCATTTACTAATGAAAAATATATATTCTGTACAGAAAGTTACAAATCAAATCAGTCATAGTGACATCTACAATCACAGAAAAAAATTAGAATTTTGTCCAATAGATGGCGCTGTTGTACCCCAAAAATATTTATGGCATGTTTCTCCCCATTACATTCGTAAAAAAACAAAGGGTCTCATCCATTATTTTCTTTGATTCAGTCAAATTTAGATGAGTATTTTAAAAAATAATTTAAACTTATGCTAATTAGTAGAGATTTGCATAGTAAGTCAAACGTACTTTCGTTAACTCCTCCCGGCCGTCCAACACAATCACATCACTACTTTCCCTGACAAAAGAGGAGGAGCGGCTGACCAAACAATGTGAAGGGATTTTGGATAATTTGCTTATTTGTTTTTATATGATTTTTTAAAATATGTTTGGGGGAATGAAACAGTTTTTTTAGCATAACTTCAAAAGATTTTGACATTTTTCAAAGCTATTCATAACCACCATACCTAGGATCAATTCAAGTGGATATCTTGATTTTCAGCTTGATTCAACTAGTGATGTTACCTGTGACACGCAGGATTCGAAGCTTGTATTACCAAAACGAACCACCGCAGAGCAAAGCACTGTGTCGGAGCTTGATTTGTTTACTGAAAGTCACGTGACCAATGAGCAACGATGCTTCATTCACCCTTCCACCCACGTGACCGCTTCACACATTGTTTCAAACATTTAAAGCAACGCAAACCGAGAGGCGCAGTTTTATGGCAAGCCAAATGAGCATTTATTCTGATATCAGGATGTCAGCCAGAATTGTCATGAACATGTAAGCCATTTCTGTCCACTAGTTAACTAGTTAGCTATGTTTGTGTCAACTAGTTAAATAGGGACAGCCTAAATGTCAATGTCAACTAGTTAACTAGTAAGGCCTAAATTCTCTCTAGTTAACTAGTTAAAAGGTTTCATATCTTACTAGTTAACTAGCATTGCTCAGTGTGTTCACTAGTTAACTAGTGTGCATTTATGTCTACCACAAGTTAACTAGTGTGCACATTTTGACCCTCACTAGTTAACTAGTGAGACAAATACCTTCAAGTAGCTGACTGGTATGCATTTCTGCTTTTACTAGTTAACTAGTGAGCAGTTTTTGTGTCAACTAGTTAACTACTGAAGCATAAATGTGTTCACTAGTTAACTAGTGCGCATTCCTGCTGTCACTAGTTAACTAGTGGGCACATTTTCACCCTCGATATTTAACTAGTTGACACAAACATGGCTAACTAGTTAACTAGTGGACAGAAATGGCTTACATGTTCATGACAATTCTGGCTGACATCCTGATATCATAATAAATGCTTATTTGGGCTTGCCATACAGGTTTGTATGACCTGAGATTGACGGTTCAGGATTCAGTATTCAGTGATAAAACACCGAGTCGCAAAAATGGATCCTGTAGCAAAAAGCGGGCGTTCTGAGATGTAGGAATGTTTCAATTTAATCTCTCCAAACAAGGTTTGAAAATGTATTTGGTCTAGTCTAGTAAATTACCTTTATAGTAGTAATACTTGGTGCATATTGTAGGGCTATATCTTTTAGACCGTCTGTCATTTTCCTTTAATTAAATTAAAATCTAGTTTGGTATGATTTTTCTTCTTTTATTGGTAATTAATATAATAGTTGATGAACTTTTCAGTTTGGTTGTACATGTAATGGAATTTAGTATGTCCTATCCTTATGTGAATTTTCTAATCTTCATTTTGTTACTCTATTTCTAAAAAAGATACATAAATTGAGCTAATTATTCCTGCCTAATAATCCAATAGAAATGTGAAAAGTAAAATATTTGAATATGTAGAGAATGTTAATATGTGTAAATTAGATATATTTCATCACATATCCCATAAAAATAAACATTGTTTCATTTCAAGTATTCACACCAAGAAAAGCAATTTTAGTATATTTAATGTAATGTTCAAATTCAAGATACTATTATATGATCCTGAGGAAGCTTCTTAATGCTTTATTTGTCCATAAAGTTCAATACACCATTCATCTTCAGTAGAATTGGCTGACAATACAATGAAATACAAACATTAACCAGCAGATGTCCTCCCAGAGTTTTGAAGCGTTGAACCTTGAACCTTTTTTCAATACAATTGGATTGTAAAGCTTTGTTGGTTCAAAAGGCTTCACATCATCATCACTAGACTCAACAATAGAGGGCACTATAAATAAGAAATTATACTGCTGAACTGGCTAAATGGATCTGCACGAAACTTAGTGGTTGTCATTATTATAGAGTCGTAAGACTACAATATCAATATGGTAATGATTGATCAAAGTGGGCATGGTTTATCATTTAAAATTTCAAATTTGAAAAATTTCCTAAAATTCTTTGTTTGCATGTAAGAGGCTAAGATTTTCAGGTTGTGTTAACTGGGTAGGCTGGAGCTTATGTCACGTTCTGGACAGAGTTGGGATCGATCCTTCAACCTTTTAGAGCCATTCCCATGTGTACCTGGTCGACCCTGCCCGGATAGCTCCAGATGGCCCCAGCTTGGCCCAGTGGATTCCACACATCCTTGCTTAGGTATGCAAGGAATTGTCATGGTCGGTGGTATATGCCTAACCCACGACATACAGAATCAATCCACAAGTCAGAATTGGAGTCAAATAATGATTTATTATAAAGGAGAAATTGCAGGAACAAAATGTCAGGCTGGACTGCTGGGATCCGGTGGGGGGGGGGGGGGGGGGGGGGAGTCTGAAGGACGAAAAAATGTCAGGACTGGTTGCAGAAAAATGGGAATAACGGATCAGTTAAGACTTACGGTCTGAAGGTTCAGTTAGAATGTTCGGGAGAGGTTGGTTGTCTGGTCTGGGGGTGAAGCAGATGGCTTACTGAGTTAGAGGAAGCTGAGAGTCCAGGCGAGGAGGGAGCTGAGCAATTACTGAGCAGGAGATCCAGGAGGAAGGTGGGGAGCCGGCGTGGGGGAGACCATGGGAGGACGCTGAGAGGCGAATGGCAGGTTGACCAGGTAGTTATTGTAACAGGATGTCTGGGTGAAAAGGTAGGAAGACAAGTGGTCAAAAATCATGAAGAGCTCAAAATCCAGATAAAAGTCAAATCACTAGGAGATACAAGTTGTTCAGCTGTTAGTTGAGTACCCAAGTAGAGTTAATAATCCAGCAAAGTAGAGCAGCCTCTCAGGTGCTTAAATATCCCCTGGCAGGTGATGAGTGGATTGCTTGCAGCTGCTAGCAACTTCCCCACAACCGGACACGCCCACCTGCAGAGGAAAGGAAGCTCAAAAGTAAATCAGAGAAAGATGACACCCCCAGACCGTGACAGAAATGGAGTTATCCTAGTGGCTCCAATAAGAGAAAGAAGCAGCATGCTTCACAAAAGCTTTTATTTTCACTTCTGAAAGTGACGTTGTTTTTCGATGTAAACATCAAAAGGAAGCAGAAAGGAAAGACAATGGAAAATGGTTAAGGGGAGGAAAACATAGACCAAAATGGAAAATTGAAAAAAAAACTAAGGCTAAAGCACAGGAGCCCTGACAGGAAAAAGAAAGCAGAGCAAATATTAAAAGCGCTCAAAGGGCGGGAAATACAGGAAAAAAGAGGAGGACTAATAAAAAGAGAAAAAAAACTCATGTCAGAAGAGGGGAGAGTTTCGCAAATCCAGTTAAAGATAAGATTGTCAAAAATTTCGTGTAAGGGGCCCCATGTCTGTGTTCGCCTTGGACCCCAAATTGCTAAATCTGCCACTGATAATCAGATCCATAATCTGTTTTTAGTAATTTCCTCGGTTTTGGGGTTTACTTGGGGGCATCCTGAACACCCACTCAGTCCCTTCTCCTTCTTGTCACAGTCGAAGCGAGGGAGAATAATAACGTCACTTCTGGCAGTGTCAATCGTTGATTTCTCCTCCTCTGCAGCTATGATGGTCTTCACCAAACACGTGATGGCATCAACGTTTGCGTCATCCTGGAGAAAAAGGTTTGTGAAGATGACAACAGAGGATCATTAGGGTTGTAACAAACAACTTTCAGCTACTTCTGAGGATAAAGATGTAAATTAAAGACACAATAAAAAAGTTTATTTCCTGATCAGAAGGATCTTTGTAGATTGTTTAATTTTCCCACAAATTATTACAGTCTAATAAGAGCATTATATATATATATATATATATATATATATATATATATATATATATATATATATATATATACCGTATATATATATATAAATATATATTATATATATATATATATATTAGTATATATATATATATATATATATATATATATATATATATATATATATATATATATTAGTATATTACAGCAGCTCAAGATTTATTGGGATGTCTATTATGATTTAAATAAACTTATGAAAATCATTTTTCTGGAGAAGTAAAAAAAGAAGGATGTGGAGGACACCCTCCTCTTCATGACAATAAAAGCAAAATTATTTAATTTTGATGGAAAAAATAAAATCAACAGAACTGTTTACATTTGCAAAGACAGCATCCAGTTCTTATTTATGGCAACTTGGGGGCAGTGTTTGACTCCAGGGTGTCACCTAAAAGGGTATCCAGAAGTGCAAAAGATCTTATCTGATCCTATATTCTTTTATTTCATTTGAAAATAGAAAAAGTTAACCCTTTATTGAAAATAATATAAAAAATCCCAAAAACAAAGATGAATGCTATTATTCGTGCAATTTAAGTGGACTTAGAGAAGTTGTCTCCAAGCTTTACTTCCTGGTTGCTCTGTGTCCTGACTCCTCTGGGTTCTGCAGAGGTTGAGCCATGACTGATGGTGTTTCTGTGTGCCTTTTCTATCAAGATAAGCCTCTACTGCTCTGATAATAAAGCAGATGTGCTCCAGATGGTTCTGTATGATAAGGTTGGGTGGTACTTCTCTTTGTTCAGAACTGCCTTTTAGATGGGATGCCTGAATCATCACAGAGCCTTCTGTGTGTTTTATAGATGGATGCAGATATTCGCTACTGCACGTACTGGAGAGGTTCGCCGACACGTTTTAGTTTTTTGAGGGTTGGTTCTTTTTTCCCCTGATTTGAATCAAACCTGATCATTAAGTTGAACACTTTTAACCCTCCCACTGTCTTTATGGGTGACCCCGCGAGGAAAGTTGACCATTGAGCAGGATTGGTGGTTTATCCCTTGAGGTCCACGTGGCAGGGGTGAGGTGGTGCTCACTCTTCACCCCTGCCACATGGACCCAAGGGATAAACCATCAACCCTGCTCAATGGTCAGCTTTCCTCACGGGGTCACAGTGGGAGGGTTAAGCACAAACAAATGCCCAATTTGCTGTCTGAAAATAAAAGCTGCGTCATACCTTGGCAGAGGTTTCGAAGCAGCCAACAAACCCGTGCTCCTGGTAGAAGCTGTCCAATTTGGGAAGTTTGGGACACAAACCGTGACTACGCTGGTCACATTTGTTGGTCAACAGAACCGCTGGAACTGGCCTTCCATTGCTCAGGGTGACCTGGTGGAACAGCAGACATGCTTGGAGCTGCCACAGGTTGAGTCTAGTCTGCCCCCAAGTGGACACAACAGTCTACTGCAGCAAATTCACTTACCTTTGAATCCAGATCTCCTTTCCACTTGAGGACAGCCTGGAACGTGGACAGCCTCGTCATGTCGAAGACCACCAGAGCTCCCACAGCTTCTCTGTAATACACCCGGGTCATGTTGCCATAACGTTCCTGTCCTGTTGGACAAAAACAAGAAGTGTTTGTGTTTCTGTCGTCCATCCGTCCGACTGTCAGAAAACTGCAGTATTAGTCAGAAATGTGATCAATGCCAACAGAAATTTGGTGCTTTATGAAAAAACAATTTAAACATTTTATAGCTCAAACACAACCCTGAAAAACCACTTGTTTGTTATGCTGAATGGTCTTTAAACACACCTTACACAAGAATTCCATCTGATCACACTTAGCTCGTGGTATACACAAGTGAGAAATGCAGCTGTAACTAAAGTTCAGAGGTTATTGTTTAAAATGTCAAAACTTCTGTCTTTTGTGTTAAGGGCGCTGCAAAGGGGACAATATGATTAAATTAAATCCAATTCAAGTGTATTTATACAGCGCCAAATCATGACAAGAGTCGTCTCAAGGCATTTCACATAATAAACATTCCAATTCAGGTAAGTTCATTAAGCCAATCAGAAATAATGTTTCCTATAAAAGGAACCCAGCAAATTGCATCAAGTCACTGACTAGTGTCAGTGACTTGTCAGTGATTTTACAGCAATCCTCATACTAAGCAAGCATAAAGCGACAGTGGAGAGGAAAACTCCCTTTTAACAGGAAGAAACCTCCAGAGAATCCTGGCTCAGTATAAGCAGCCATCCTCCACAACTCACTGGGGATCAAGAAGACAGAGCAGGCGCACACACACACACACACACACACACACACACACACACACACACACACACACACACACACAAAGTAATGTGTCTATAGTTATAATGTAGAGAAGCTAAGACAGGAGAGATATGATCTCTCTTTTTAATTCTCATCAGAACTCTAGCTGCAGCATTTTGGACAAGCTGAAGACTTTTAACGACATTCTGTGGACTTCCTGAGAGTAATGAATTACAGTAATCCAGTCTTGATGTAATAAATGCATGAACTAGTTTTTCAGCATCACTCCTGGAAAGGATGCTTCTAATCTTAGCAATATTCCGACGGTGGAAAAAGGAAATCCTACAAACCTGTTTAACCTGGGATTTGAATGACATGTCCTGGTCAAAGATAACACCAAGGTTCCTTACTTTGTTCTCGGAGATTAATGTAATGCCATTCAGGTCAGGTGATTGGCTACGCAATTTCCTTTTCGGGATTTCTGGTCCAAAGATGAGAACTTCCGTCTTGTCTTGATTTAAAAGCAAAAAGTTTAGAGTCATCCAATTTTTTATGTCCTCAAGACAAGCCTGTAATCTACCCAACCGATTAGGTTCATCAGGGTTAATGGATAAATATAACTGAGTATCTTCAGCATAACAGTGGAAGTTTATCCCATGCTGTCAAAAGCTTGGTTTATGCTTGACACATTCACTTTCCGCTTGGTGATGCGACTGGCGGCTGGAACGCGCTTCACAACTCGCAGCGTTTATGGTTCATGCGGCTTGTCTCTGCGGTGAGCCAATATTCTCCCAAACTGAACGGGGCAGCATGGAGCTCTACGGCATGCATCCAACACTACACCATAGTAGAAGTAGAAATTACTGTTTACAACATGGCATTCCAGCATTTTTAACAGCATCCTTGTGTTTTCCGACAGTGCGAGCTATTTCTCTCCAAGAATTATTAACAACATGTTGATCACGGCGATCTTTGAGAGCTGAATCATACAAATGTCTGTATTTACGACCCTCTGCCATACTAGTTCTTGCCGGTCCGCCATGTTTTTCCACGTCCGACCGTCCACGTGGTTAGAAAATTTCCTAGGTGCGCGTTGCGGAAATTTTGGGCCGTGCAGAGGCGCGTGGAGGGGCGTGGTTGTTAAAATGACGCAAAATGACGCAACTTTTCCACGCGGAGCCGTGCGGACCTCGCGGACGCGTCAAGCATAAACCAACCATAATGATTTTACCAAGTGGGAGCATATATATAGTAAAAAGAATTGGTCCAAGCACTGAACCCTGTGGTGCTCCACAAGTAACCCTGGAGTATGAAGACGATTTGTCATGTACATTTACAAATTGAAATCTGTCAGACAGGTAGGATTTGAATCAGCCTAACACTGTTCCTTTGATCCCTACAACATGTTCAAGTCTTTCTAAAAGAACATTGTGATCAACTGTGTCAAAGGCATCACTGAGATCTAACAAGACTAGAACAGACACAAGATTCTTATCTGAGGCCATGAGAATCTCATTTGTAACTCTCACTAACGCAGTTTCAGTGCTGTGATACTTTCTAAAACCAGACTGAAATTCCTCAAACAGAGCATTAGTGTTTAAATGCTCACATACTTGGATGGCCACTATTTTCTCCAGGACTTTGGATAAAAATGGAAGGTTAGATATTGGTCTATAATTCACTGGGTCATCTGGATCCAGAGAAGGCTTCTTAAGTGAAGGTTTGATTACAGAAACCTTAAAATCCTATGGTACATATCCATTTACTAAGGATAGATTGATTATATCTAGAGTGGGGGCAGTAACCAAAGGAAATGCTTCTTTAAATAATTTGGTTGGGGTTGGATCCAAAATGCAAGTTGATGGTTTAGATGAAGCTAATATTTTTGATAAATCTGAAAGCTCAACTGGATCAAAACGGTTCAAGCACAGATGAGGTTCTACAGTCACCTCTGATGCTGCCTCACTTACTGAGGAGGAATAAATCGCATTAGGGAGGATGCTAAAGATTTTGTATCTAATAGAATTCATTTTACTTGTAAAAAATCCCATGAAGTCATTGCTGCTGAGGGCTAAGGGAATAGATGGCTCAGAGCTATGATTCTGTGTAAGTTTAGCAACTGTACTGAAAAGAAATTTAGGATTATGCTTATTCTCCTCAATTAATGCTGAGAAATTAGCAGTTCTAGTTTGTCGAAGCTTATTTTTATAAAGCACAAGACTATTTTTCCAGGATAGGTAGGCCTCCTCATGGTGCGTAGAGCGCCATGTTCTCTCCAATTTCCTAGAGTTTTGTATTAAGGCTCGTGAATGAGAATTAAACCAGGGAGCCAACTTCCTGTCCCTGATTACCTTCTTTTTTAAAGGGGCAACATCATCTAATGCCACACGTAAAGAGGAATTAACATGATAAACTAATGCATCAATTTGTGAGGGGCTAGAACTGAAAATATTGCCCTCTGCTACATGCCTCTGAGATGCTGAGGACAGTAAAGATGGAACAGTTGATTTAAAAGATGCAACTGCGTTGTCAGATAGAGACCGACTATAGTGAAATTTACTTTCATGTCTCGAGAACTCAGTTATAAAAAACTCAAAGGTTATCAGAAATTGGTCCGAGAGGACTGGATTATGTGGAAAGATCGTTATTTCCTCACACTCTATGCCATAAGTCAGCACAAGGTCTAATGTATGATGGCAGGAGTGGGTGGAGCTATGTGTTCTTTGAGTAAAACCAATTGAGTCTAAGATATTACTAAAGGCTACATTGAGGCTATCATTCTCAATGTCCACATGAATATTAAAATCCCCCACTACAATGACCTTATCAGTATTTAGCACCAAATCAGATAAAAAAATCAGAGATCTGATCCAAAAACTCAGAGTAAGGGCCTGGTGAACGATATAAAACTACAAACAAGAGTGGTTTTACAGTTTTGCAATCTAGATTAGGAAAACTAAGAATAAGATGTTTGAACGAACTGTAGCTATTAATTGGTAAGGGACTGATTAATAAGTCCGAATGAAAAATGGTTGCTACTCCTCCTCCTCGCCTTGTACTTCGAGCAATATGATGATTTAAATAATTTGAAGGAGTCGACTCGTTTAAGCTAACACAGTCCTCTTGCTGCAGCCAGGATTCTGTGAGAGAGAGCAAAGAGATCTGATTATCACAAATCAAGTCATTAACTAACAAAGTCTTAGAAAAAATAGATCTAATGTTCAATAACTCACATTTAATTTTTCTAGTTTTCTGCTCAGTTGAATTTGTTCTAATATTTATGAGATTTCCATGATTTGCTTTATTAAGCCTGATATTTAATCTGTGTGATTTTGGCCGTGGGCAGAACACTGTCTCTATGGGGTAGTGGGTGGGTAACAGTACAGAAGCTGCAGAGGGGTGTGTTAAACTACGACTCTGCTTCCTGTTCTGGACCCTGGGTTGTCATGGAGGACTAATAAAACTGGCCATGTTCCTAGAAAGAAGAGCTGCTCCATCCAAAGAGGGATGGATGCCGTCTCTCCGCATCAGACCAGGTTTTCCCCAAAAAGTTTTCCAATTATCAATGTAGCCCACGTTGTTTTCAGGACACCACCTAGACAGCCAGCGGTTTAAGGACAGCATGCGGCTAAACATGTCGTCACTGGTCCGATCAGGCAGGGGGCCAGAGAAAATTTCGAAGTCTCACATTGTTTTGGCAAACTTGCACACCGAAGCAACATTAATTTTAGTGACCTCCGATTGGCGTAACCGGGTGTCGTTACCGCCAGCGTGAATAACAATCTTACTGTATTTACGCTTATCCTTAGCCAGCAGTTTCAGATAAGATTTAATGCCGCCCACTCTGGCCCCAGGTAAACATTTAACTATGGTTGCTGGAGTCTCTAATGCCACGTTTCTGACTATGGAGCTGCCAATGATCAGAGTCGGCTTGTCAGTGGGTGCGTCACTGAGCGGGGAAAATCTATTAGAAATGTGGACGGGTTGGTGGTGGCCCACGGGTTGGGTTCTATGCTTCCTGCGTACCGTCACCCAGCCGGCCTGAGGTCCCGGCTGCTCGGGTTCTGCCGGAGGATCGCTACAGGGTTGTTCTGAGCTAGTTAGCCCCGCGCTAGCTAAGTAGCTACGGCTGTTTACGGGTTTTTCAACAGCGCAGAGCCGGGACTCCAATTCCGACACTCTCGCCTCCAAAGCTACAAAAATGCTACATTTATTACACGTACCATTATTGCTAAAGGAGGCAGAGGAGTAACTAAACATCTGACACAGAGAGCAAGAGATAGGAGACGGAGAAGCAGAGACAGAAGTAGCCATAGCTGTGCTGAGGCTAAGCTAACTGGACGAGCAAACTGTTCAACACCAAATAAACTGCGTGCGAACTCAAATGGTTCCCTAAAAGCTAGGTGGAACAACAGAAAATGTGTGTTTTAGCGTGCTTATGTGCTACAATAACTCAGAGATATCTTAGTACAGAGAAATTAAATCAATTTTAGCGAGCCCCAAACACCAAACAGCTACACGTAGTGCAACACCGAAAACAGGAAACAGGAAACGCCTTACCGCCAGGTGCAGCCAATCAGCCCATGAGACAATTTAACTATTATAAAGGGTAATGCAACCACAAAAATAGCCCACAAACTCACTCACTCATTTTCTATACCACTTAATCCTCATACGGGTCATGGAGAGCTGGTGCCTAACTCTGGCAAACAATCCACAAATTAAAGCAAAATAAGAAAAGTTGAATAATGACATGAGCTAGACTATGTAACAAACTGGCTAAAATAAAAATAGAATAGCATGAAGCACAAACAACTTCATCATTTAAAAAATGTCCACAAACAAGAAAAGGACATTTATACAACATTAATAGAAAATGTAGTATAAATAGAGTTTCTGTGCAAATTTAGACCTCAAAACAACTGAAGAAAAAATGACTAAATTAGTCTGAAAATTACCTTTACATTTACATCTTTTTGGGATTTTGCATAAAAATATCTAAATGATAAAGCAAAACAAAACATCTGCCAGCAGTTGGAGACAAAACAAAGACAAGTTACTAACAGATTCTAAAAATACATTTTTCTGCTAAACAAACTAGCATAAAACATTTTTTCATGCCTCTTAACAACAATCTAACATAGTTTAGCTATAAATGTTTTGCTGCGATAAAAGCAAATACAACAACTTGTGGTTCTCTTGCATTTGTCTAAAAACCCCCGCCAATAACATGGCTTTGTCTGAAGCATCTACGGTATTGGTTGTCGTTTTTGCCAAACCGCCGCACTTCCTGGGTCCTCCGCTCATTATGAGCTTTTTTTATTTTATTTTTATTTTTTTGCAGCAGAACACCACTGGTGTGAGATTTTCTCTTGGCTCAACAGTATAAGAGAAGGAGAAACAGCCAACTGCTACCACTTGAACTTTAGGACAAACTACCAGAGTCCAAAAAAGAAAAACACTATTAGAAGTCACAGACAACAAAATATGTTTAGACCTAGGTAATGGCGACTGGTGTTTAGTGCTTTCTTGATTACTGTGGCAATGCTGGTTCCGGTATCTGCCGGACGTGACTCAGGGATGATGGGTTAAGTGTTCTGTGACCGTGTTTGTGTTTAAAAGCTAGATTTCCTTGCAGATTTGCTATTGCAGCTTTAATTTGAATGGTTTGTCAGCTTATAGCCATTTTTGGTTTCCTATGAACAGAAACTTCTGATGATGATATGTTACAACCAGGGTTCGAAATGAACACCCGCCAACACGCCAAATGCGGGTTAAAAATTGTTTTGGCGGGTACTGTTAAAATATTACTAGCCAGTTTGGCCGGTGATCCGGAGGCAACCAAACAATTCATGTCAGAGACGCTCTGGGTCGTTTGCCCCCTCCTTCCCTCCTCGAAGACGAATCACGACACTACTGTAAACCGTGTGCTATTTGTGACGTTTTAGAGGCCTATTGGCTGCAGCGCACAGGCACACTACTGTCTGCTGTGCAATTTGGTCCAATCACCAATGAGAGCGCGACACCAGAAACGCCTGAAAACACAAGCAAAAAATACGTGATGAAGAGCAAAGACAAAGAAAAATCAGAGCTGGACGGCAAAGTTGGATAAAATGCTGCGGTGGTTAGGACAGACGTCTGGAGGAGGTGAGAAGAGGAAGGAAGCAGAAGATGAGAGTGTTGACAGAGCGTGCAAAGCGAAGAGAAGAAACTTCAACAGTAAATGGCAGACAGGCCGTGAATGGCTTGTGTTTGACAATGAAAATGCAGTAATGTCTTGTAAAATTTGCCGAGTGTACACGAAAGAAATAAACAAAACTAACAGTTTTGTGGTGGGGACTAATAATTTTAAAATCGAGGCTGTGAAGGACCACGAGAAAGCTCGAAGTCAACAGGAAAGCCTCCAAATGAAGACTGCTAAGGCAGTTCCAGTTGAAGTGTTGCTGGGAAAAGTCTCTCTTCACTCAGAAGTTTGGAGTTGGAAAAGATGCAGCTTCTTTTTAGAAATGCTCATGCCATCGCAAAAAAGGGAAGGCCTTTCACCGACTTCGCATGGATGTGTGAGTAAGTAAATCAATCATTCCATTTACATGTTTCAGAATCAGTGCATTTAAACTGATACAGAGTGATGATAGACACGCCTTTACTGACACAGATGAAATGTTATGCTTGATTTCAAAAAGAAAAAATAAAAGAACTCAGTAACTGAACTCTGCACTAACTTTGGCTTTATTCACATGATTAATTTAGGGTGGACAGAAAGAAAGGCTTGAAGATAGGAGAGACATATACAAATGACCACCAAGCAAAAGAATTCATACACTACATAGCAGAGGATGAGAGGAGAAAAATGAAGACAAGATTATTAGATGGCAAGTTCATGTCAGTCATGTCAGATGGATCCCTGGACAGTGCAGTGATGGAAGAAGAAATTGTTTATGTCAGGAGTGCCAGTGAAGGAAAAGTTAAAGTTGACCTTGTTGGGGTTAAATCAGTCTCAAAGCCAGATGCTGCAAATATAGCTGAAGCTGTGTGCGGTATGTTGGACAGTGAAGTCAGCACTGATTGGAAGAAGAAGCTGGTTGCCATCACTACTGATGGAGCATCTGTAATGACAGGAGTAAACAATGGTGTTGTTACAAAACTGCGTGGAGACAGATGTTACGTGCCACTGCATGGCCCATAAGCTTGAACTCTCCTTTTCGGATGGAATAAGGAAGAATGTGATGGTCAGGAAAGTTGAGGACCTGTTGAGTGGACTCTACACCTTATATCATAAGAGTGGCGTAAACAGGGCCAGCCTAAAGGATCACTTCAGGGAGCTCCACCTGAAGCCTTTGATGCCAACCAGAATAGGTGGAACCCGGTGGCTCCCACATTTCTTCAATGCACTTGATCATTTTCTCAGGGGATATGTTGGCTTTGTCCACCACTTAGAGGAAAAGGTGTGTTAATTTACATTCTAGTAAAACTAGTGTAGATAGATACAATGTTCTCTAAATCTGATACTCACTATCATCAGTTTTAATGCGGTCTGTGGCTGTGATATAATTTAGTTTGTTTGTCTGTAGTCCCAAAATACCACGAACACCAATGCAGTTCTGAGGGCAAAGGCCAAGGGGTTCCTCAACATAGCCAAGGATGGTGGGGTGCTCAGGTTATGCTGCCTTCTCCATGACACCATCTATCAACTGAGCAGCCTCTCCAAGTCACTGCAGAGGTCCGTGTCAGCCCTGGCTGAAGCTCAGAGTCTCAAGCTGTCATTCAAAAGTACAAGTCAAGGTATGTAACCTACATTGTATTCTTTGATTTTAGGTTATGTTGCTTTCAAATAAATACTGTAGATATGTGGATGGATGAAATGACACCCATCAATCTATCTGCACAAATGTAGACCTGGGCCTAAGATGAGATCAGTGCTGGACACAGACACATGTGGCAAGGTGGAGACACGAGGGCCCGGGCGGGATTCGATCCCCAGACTCCCGGGTGAGAGTCATACGCTCTAACCAGTCAGCCAAAGGGACATCCCCTTGGCCAAGTAGCCAGGGCGCATGATCAATCGGGACATTGTGACAGGACACTCACACTGTCACACACATATGAGGGAGTCCTTCTGAAGCCTTCTGATGCTGGCCAGCACAACAAGGCAAATAACGAGTTGATCGATTCTCTGTGTCAATGCATCACTGCGAGATTTAGTGATGTGAACAGTGGTGTCCTGCATGCTATGCGACTGACCAGTTTCCAGTGCTGGCCAGAGGCAGACACGAGTTTCGGTTAGTGATGGACACATCTTGCCAATGCATTTTATGATTTACGACAACTTCTGAACTTTGTAGTAATGTTTTCCCTTGTTCTCAGATTTTGGTGATGAGGAGATAAACAAGCTCACAAGTCACTTCTGACCTCTTCTGCTGTCTGCTGGAGTGGATGTGGACTTGATCCCTGATCAATGGACAATTGTTAAGGCTGAACTGTACACAGCAGGATTTAGCCAAGGTATTTAGAGAATGATGTTAGAGAAAAAAATTAACATTGATGTTCCTAAATGGCAAAGTTTTTAACAAGTCCTTGAAAAGCTAAATGTCTAATAGTGTAAGATTTTAATTTGTTAAAAGCGCATTACAAATCTAATTATGTCTTTAAAATAATATATAAAGTTGCATTTTAAACTATTGCTTGCTAGACTGTAATTTTGTCTGACCCTTCTGCAGGAACTTTTGAGAAAACCTGGCCTACTGTGAACAGAATGCTGCACCATCGGTGTCCTGACGTCCTTTACCTCTTTGATGCTCTCCTCACCATCCCTGCAAGTACAGCTGACTGTGAAAGAGGGTTCAGTGTCATGAAGCAGGTAAAGAGTGACTGGCGTTCACGCCCAAAGTCTCCTAACGATCTTCGTCCTGTAGCGCTAACCTCCTTGGTGATGAAGGCCATGGAGATCATAAAAGAGCACATTGTAAGAGCAACTGAGCCCCTGATGGATCCACTCCAGTTTGCTTATCTTACACGCAGAGGCGCCGATGATGCAAAAATCTTCATCCTGGACTCCATCCACAAACATCTGGAGCTCCCTGACTCCTCCGCCAGGCTTCTGTTTGTTGACTTTTCATCAGCATTCAACACTCTGCAGCCTCACATCCTGGCTACTAAACTTTCCTCCCAATTTCATTTAGATGACCAGTTAACCCTGTGGATACTGGACTTTTTAACCAACAGGACTCAGAAAGTTTGGGTCAACAACTGTCTCCCCGGTCTCCACTGGCTCCCCCCAGGGCTGTGTACTCTCCCCCCGCTCTACATCTACACCGACGACTGCAGATCCACACATCCCAACTGTCACCTGGTGAAATACGCTGATGATACAGTCCTCCTATCACTGTTGTCAGGCTCCTCACAACACCACAGACCTGCTCTTCAGGAGCTTGTAGAGTGGTGTGACAGCTCCAAACTTGAACTGAATGTGAGCAAAACCAAAGACATGGTCCTGAAATGATCTGCTAACACAGAGGAGATTCTCAGGAAGTGCCACCAATGGTTATATCTCCTTAGGAAGCTCAACTTCTTTGGAGTCAGCTCCTCAGTCATGATGACTTTTTACTGTGCCTTCCTGGAAAGCATCATGACCTTCTCCATCACTTGCTGGTTCTACTCTCTTAGCCTCCAGAACAGGAACAGACTGCAACACACTACATCAGTGTGTTCCAAAATCGTGGGCCTGCCTGTCAGAACTCTTGCTCAGGTTTTCTATCAACAAGCCCTGAGACAGGCAGCCCAAATCCTCCACAACCCCTCTCACATTCTTCACCCTGCATTTCAATGGCTCCCCTCTGGGCGACGCCTATGCTGCATTTCCTGCAAGACTGAGAGGAGGAGCCACCTTTGTCCCCAAAGCCATTCTGCTCTTTAACTCCAGCAGATAAGACCATCCCCTGATAAACCCTCTCCTTGGGCTCTCCATATATTTAACTTTTATACAGATGACACTTTAGTCACTTTATTCACTTACTCAGTGATTTTTACATATTTTACTGTTTTATCCATCTTCTTGCTGCTTTATTACTTCCTTATTGCCTATTTATTCAATGTCCGTATGTCCAACATTATGCTGCTCTGCTGTTATTTTTATTTTTTTTAATTGCCCCTCGGGGATAAATAAAGTTTTTCTGATTCTGATTCTGAAAGGTGAGACCCTCTCTGACCTCCTGAAAACCCAGTTGTGCTCATCTGACATTAAAGACTTTGATCCAACCAAAGCCATTGACATCTGGCATGCTGACAGTTTGCGCAGACGCAGGCCTGAATTTGTGCGCAAAAATGCAACAAAAGAAACTGATGCTTACTCAGATTCAGAAAAAGAAACACGTTCAGAGAGCTCTGAGGATGAGGATGTTTGATTCAGAGGGAAGAGATACAGTGAGAAAAAAATAAATCAATGTTGCACTTTTTATATGTTCTTGTGTGTATTGCAGTATGTGTGCGTTTTTCACAACAGCAGTGTTAATAAAATGACAAAATCTTCATTCAGTGGCATTCATAATCTCTTTTTTGACTGCAGAAAAAAATGGCTAGTGGGAATCCAAGGTGATGATCATAAAGGTTAATTTTGAACCCTGTTTTTTACAATGAAAGAAAGTTTATATTTTGGATTTGTACTTCCAAGTTCTCACTTGGTGTCGTTCTTGTCCTGACCAGCAGGTGGCGGTAACACGTTCATTGTTCTCCGAGCGCCAACCAAAACCAAGACGAAGAAGAAGTAAAGGACTGTTGGCAAGGTTAGCTTGTTGTATGAGGTGAATGTTGAGTCTCTGGGTTAAACCATCGACATATATACGGCTTAAACATGTATTCAGGAGAGTCTCTGATGGAGTTTGTCAACAAGCAAGTAGCTACTGCTAGAAAACTCATCACGAAGGTTGAAGAAGCCTTGGCCCAGTTCGAGGAAGGGCTCGGTAGTCAGCGTAGACTGTCGGATATGAGCTGGGAACCACAGAGCACACACAGAGCAGGTAAGAAACACCAGCGGGACTCGTGCAGAGACGGACTGGGACAATAATTTAGCCTGGGGCCCTGTCCTGTTATTATTTAAGGTGTGTAGAAAGCTGCTTTCTTGTGTAGATCATCTCCAGCAAGCGGACCTCCGTTTTCTGACTGCCTTCTAGCTAGCCGTCTTTCGATTTTTACGGGCGCAACTACAAGAGAATTTACGGTGTCCTCGTTATAGAGTGTCTTTCAAAATAAAAGCGCTCAAAACACATTTCAAAGTTTGTGTAAAATTGTGTCTACGATAAAACTGCGTTTTATGATTTTATCTATTTAAAAATACTTTTAATTAAAATAATGAACACGAAATAAACATATTTGTGTAAAATTGTGTGCAAGATAAAACTGTGTTTTTATGATTTTATCTATTTAAAAATACTTTAAATTAAAAGAATAAACACATTTGTCTACTTTGCAATTCTTATCCCGCCCCTCCCTTTCATCCTGATCTGATGTGGCATTTCAAAAGAAAGTGAAAATATTGACAATTATCACTAAATTCAATGGTTTCATTCTCAAAACGGTCTAAATGAAGTGCAAATTTAACTATAAAGACAATTTTCACCATATTCAATGGTTTCTTTCTCAAAAACTGTCTGATTCCACATCAGTCTTAAAGTACACACTGACTGCTAAATCCTCCCCGACTTTCATTAGGATCTGATGTGACATTTCAAAATAAAGTGCAATAAAATATGACTTTAGAGACAATTTTCACTATATTCAATTTAATAATTTCTCAAAAGCTGTCTGATTCCACAACATCATTCCACCTCAGTATTAGAACACACATCGAGGACTAGATCAGAAATTTTGTGAGGATGTAGTCGTCTATGTGTACTTTAAGGCAGATGTGGAATGATGTTGCGGAATCAAACTGTTTTTGAGAAATCAGCCGTGGAATATAGTGAAAATTGTCATTACTGACTAGTTTCATTGCACTTTATTTTGAAATGCCACATCAGATCTTCATGAAATTTGGGGAGGATGTAGTGCTCGATGTGTACTCTTAAGATTGAAGTCGATTGATGTTGCGGAATGAAACAGTTTTTGAGAAATTACCATGGAATTAGTAAAAATAGTCCTTAATGACTTGATTGCACTTTATTTTGAAATGCCACATCAATCAATCAAAGCTTTATTTATAAAGCACCTGTCGGGAAGCCCAAGGCGTTGAACGTGGTACATGAGAAATGTGAAACATGATGAATAAATCAAAAATAAAAGCAATTCAAATAGTGCAAAAAAGGTAAAACATTAAAGTAGAAGACAAATGGGTAAAACAAGGGATAAAGAGACCAATGAAAACAGGGAAATAAAATCAACATAAAAGAGGGCCTAATTCAAACACGTTCAGGGAATGCCAAGCGGAGGAGGTGGGGTTTTAGGCGACTCTTAAAAGACTGGCAGAGATGGGGACAGCCTAATTGAGCGTGGCAACTGGTTCCAGAGTGACGGTGTTAGGACAGAGAAAGCCCGGTCCTCGCGAGTACAACACCTAGAACGAGGGACAGCGAGCAGGCCTTGGTCAGCGGAGCGCAGAGCGTGTGATGGGGAATGTCTGTTCAGGAGTGTGGCTAGATAGGGGGGAGCACCACCCTGGAAGAAATTGTAAACAAAGAGGAGGAGTTTAAAGTGTGAACAATAACAGACTGGAAGCCAGTGCAGGGAGGCCAGAACCAGACTGATGTGGTCCCGTTTCCTGGTCCCAGTCAGGAACCTGGCTGTGCTGTTCTGCACAACCTGTAGACGATGCAGTGATGACTGACACAACCCTGCATATAGAGAGTTGCAGTAATCAATCCTAGAAATTACAAAAGCATGGAGTCCGGCTCCAGGTGGGCTCTTGACAGCATAGGCTTGATTTTTTCAAGGCGTCTCAGATGAAAGAAACTGGACCGGATCACAGAGTTGATGTGAGCATCAAATTTAATAAGTCCAGCGTCAATTTTCACCCCCAGACTGGTGACAACTGGTTTTGAGTAGGGAGAAAGAGGGCCAAGATCAACATAACGACCCACTGCCCTGCTATTGGGGTGAAAAACAATGAGCTGTGTCTTTCCCTCATTCAGATGCAGATAGTTGGCCATTAGTCAAGACTTTACCTCGTTAAGACACAACACAAAGGACTGGATAGAGAGACCTTTCTCCTGACACAGTGGAGAGTAAATCTGGCAATCGTCAGCATTGAGATGGAATGCTAGGCCATGTTTACGAAAGATTGACCCTAGAGAAAGCAGATAAATTGCAAACAAAAGAGGACCAAGGATCAATCCCAAAGGAAACCGCCAGCGGTGCCCCTCCCAAGAAGAAAAAACATCACCCAGTTTAAAGGTTGGTTTATGCTTGACGCGTCCGCGCGGCGAAATTGCGTCATTTTAACAACCACGCCCCTCCACAGCGCCTCCGCACGGCCCAAAATTTCCGCAACGCGCACCTAGGAAATTTTCTAACTGCACGGACGGTCGGACGCGGAAAAACATGGCGGACCGGCAAGAACTAGTATGGCAGAGGTTCGTAAATACAGACATTTGTATGATTCAGCTCTCAAAGATCACCATGATCAACATGTTGTTAATAATTCTTGGAGAGAAATAGCTCGCACTGTCGGAAAAGACAAGGATGCTGTTAAAAATGCTGGAATGCCATGTTGTAAACAGTAATTTCTACTTCTACTATGGTGTAGTGTTGGATGCATGCCGTAGAGCTCCATGCTGCCCCGTTCAGCAGAGGTGGAAAGTAATGAATTACATTTACTCACGTTACTGTAATGGAGTAGCTTTTTTGTAAATTTATACTTTTTAAGTCGTTTTTAAAATCTGTACTTTTACTTTTACTTGAGTAAGTTTTTAAAAAAGAATTGTAATTCGCTACATTTTAAATCATATCCGTTACTGAGTAAAAATAAATTGTAGGCTTAATAAATTAAAAATATTACGTGTAGCAGCGTCGGAACAGAAAGAGACACCTGCATGAGCGCCACGTCTAAACCGGGGGGGGGGGGGTGGGGGGGGTGGGGGGGGGCTACACGCTTTATGATGAGGACAAACAGCCATTTTTACCGCAGTTTTGCTCAAAAACATCAGTTCAGTCCCTGTGATCCACTCGCTGTTTACCTCCTCTCTCCCTCCTCTCCTGTCGGTAGGAACCCGCACCTTCGCGCACCGGTGTGACGTCATCAGAATTCTGCTCGGTTCGGCAACCAGACTCGGTTCCGTGTTTGAAATGTGTTTCCTTACCGCGCACGGAAGCGGCAAAATTACGTTAAGCACTCCTAAGAAGCCGATTATCAGCGCTCTGCTCCTAAAACAGAAGACGTGCAGGCCTCTGTGAGTTAATCCTGATACTGTTCAGGTGTAAACATTGTGCTCCATCCCTGTGTTTGAACTCAGAAGTTGCTTCTTGATGCGACAGATATGTGATGATTTAGCTTGTTTCTTTTTATTTTACTCCAGAATAAGAGATTAAATTATTACCAAAGCAGTTCAGTGTAGTTAAATTAGTCATTCAAATGATTCTAACATGCTGCTGCTGCTGCTGTGTGTGTGTGTGTGTGTGGGGGGGGGGGGGGGGGGGGGACTGCATAAGGCAGCATGGCTTCATCAAATCCATGCATCCTATATCTTGGCTGAAGTAATGGCTCAGGAAAATAACTTGTATTTAATAAACAATGATGTCTCTGCAGTGTTTATGATAATGTTTTATCTTATATTGGACCTATCTTTGGTCTGGGAGGTGTAACTTATCGTGATACAAGCCTTTTAAAACATGTTAAAGTGTTACAAGAGGAGATAAATGCATGAATTTGAAGTTCATGTTTGGAGACCAACCTTCACAGTTTGGAGGCTCACGATGGTGAGGAGACACCATAAGTTCTAGTAACACCTGGGCTCCCACGGCCTGTTCTGACAGGATGTACGTTACGGGACCCTTAAGGATTCCAGTTGGATGATTGGAATATTGGGATGAACAAACTGGTTTCAGTGGTGAAGGGTTAAAGGTAGTTGCTCGGCATTAAAATTGTAGAAATGCAAAAAAACTACACTTTATTATCTATATAAACATGTACTGGGTCCAGTTTTTTATTTTATTAAGGACTTTTGTCATAAATCATTACAGAAAATCCAAATCCTCTCCTCCAGACAGTGAAGAACTGTGTTTCGCATACGTAGCTCCAGCACGTAAAACAAGCTAGCTGCTGATGCTAATATTGTGAATCACTGTTATTTGTTTACTTTCATGCTCCTAATTATTACGTAAAATTACGTTTACAGCTGCAGCAAAAGGTCTGAGCCATGTGTCTGTGTCCTACACGCATTTTTAAATAACAGGTCTGATCTAAAATAATAACTTACATCTATAAATCCATCTAGAACCGCACCGCTACTTCTGGACTCCAGACGAGTCCCGTTAGCATGACTGCAGCAAAACTAACCGTGTTCGCTCCGGTAAGGAAAGAACAAGTCCTTTGGGAAAGCTACGATGCACCCACGCACTCACGCACGCACACACACACACGCACACACACACACACACGCACGCACACACACACACAGATATAATCTAAAAGATGATCTCTATATTTCAACATTAGAACCTCCATGACATCCTGGATTAGTGCAAACAACGAGTTGAGCTAAGGAGTTACTCCAGCATCAGGAAGATTTATTCTGGTAAATTGTTTGTTAAATATTTTCCAGAGTTATGTCAATAAATACACACAGCAGTAAAACTGTAGATTACTGAACTATATTGGGACACATGATGGAGCTAAAACCAGCTGAAAACTTGTCAGCTTAGAGCTTCCAGTGGAGCACAGAAATGAAATATTTAAGAAAAGTAAACAAACTGTACCGATTTTGGTTCTGAAGATGAACAGAATCCTATGTCCAAATCAGGTCACAGGTCTTCTGAGTCAAACGGTCTAAAACATGTCTGCACCTCTGGTAGTGATATCCAGCTGGCGGGGTCGAAGTTCGGTTGAACTTCTCCAGTAATCTAACATCCGTTCTCGTCGCCGTATCCCAGAGAAAAAACAAATCTGATGGACTAGTAGAGGCTTCAGAAGCTACATCTGATTGATGACACATTGTTCTCTGCTATAACGCTAACGCAGAAACAGCGGAGCCAGGCGTTGTTTACTACAGCTGTTTCAGCAGAGCTCCATGTGAAACGTCAACTGCTGCCCAGGGCTTAGACCGGAAGTTAGTTTCTGGTTTTCCTGCGTCAGTCACAAACTTCAGATTTTCTTACAATTCCAGCCGTCAAAATCCAAAAACCTTTTTCATCTGAGATTTTAATACACATTTACACATGCTGTTCAAACAAATTTTGCCTCTGGCTGATATCTTTAAATGAGTGAGTGAACCCACTACCAAAGATGAACTCTGCTAACTTTAAAAATCAGCTGCTCTAAATAAGCATTCAGGGAAAACTCATGGGCTTGTGACTATAACCTAATTTATGTTACTAGTTTGCAGTGTAACTGCCTTTGTACTTCAATATGCATATTTGTTCATTTAATTAAAAAAACTGCCACTTTGACATTTATACCCCATTGTCTTTTTTTAACTATTCAGAAGAGCCCGTCCTTGCACAGTCAAAAAAGTAACTAAGTAACTTTTACTCTGACTACATTTGAAATAAGCTACTTTTTACTTTTACTTGAGTACATTTTGAGGCAGGTAATTTTACTTGTAATTGAGTAAAATTTCATGAAAGTAATTATACTTGTACTTAAGTACAACATTTTAGTACTCTTTCCACCTCTGCCGTTCAGTTTGGGAGAATATTGGCTCACCGCAGAGACAAGCCGCATGAACCATAAATGCTGCAAGTTGTGAAGCGCATTCCATCCGCGAGCCACATCACCAAGCGTAAAGTGAATGCATCAAGCATAAACCAAGCTTTACACTAGAACTCCCAGTGACTTGTCATTTGACGGGGTCCCCCATCTCTACCAGAGAGTTGTCATTTGACTGGGCTGTTGTTATCTAGGATTCTTAATCACTTGTGGATGGTTTCCTTTGTTCTGTAAATTAGGGGTGCACCGATGGATCGGCATTTGATCGTAATCGGCCGATAGCGCCCCTATCGGTTTTGATCGGAATTTTCAAAATAGATCAAAGCAGACCGATCAGGTAGGATTGTCACGGTAACCAGTGTAGCTGTAAACCCCGGTAAAAAAAAAAAAGTTGACAATAATAATAACCGTCTTGTTTAAAAAAAACTATATTATCTTGGTGGGTTCACCGTGGCTGCGGTGTAGGCGCAGTGACTCTTTCCAGCCACCGTATCATCCGCTGAAGTTGCAGGACCGGCGGCACATGCACGCTTTGCTGTTTACAACCAAAACTTTCTTGAAGCTAAAGCTGAAATAATGGCCAAAGGAGCGCTCAGGAGGACATTTTTTATCCCTCAAAGAAGACAAAGTCGGAATTACGGTTATCTTTTAGATATTTGAAGAATGCCGAGGGAGTTTATAGAAGACGGACGGCTATCCTGTTTGCAGCACATGCAGAAAAAGTGTCTGTGAAAGGCAGCAACGCTTCAAATCTCATGACACATCTGCGTGACCATCACCCACAACTCTACAGTCAACACAAGGCAACGTTAGCATTTTAGCTCAAATGCGTGATCCGAGGATTTGGGTTGAGGACGAATGCAACGAGTCGCTATATAAAGCAGCCGCAGCGCCGCTACCTGCATATAAACCGTGTCGCGGACACCCCCATGTTGAGATGACGCTATGCATCACGGGGCTCCCAGGGGCAGATAAGAGTTGGTCTCTCTCTGAGATTAATTATGAATTTAACAATGATTACTGCCTGATGACATTTTCCCCACATCTGCAAAGCTCACTGGAAGGACACAAACCAAGGACAATATTTTCCTGATATAGGGTTTATTACTCAAGTAAGGGTAAAAAAAGTATCTGGTTAGAAGGCTACTTGAGTACTGAGTGTCATCTGAACTAATATTTTTAAAATGATGACATCAAACAGACTGAAAATAAGAAGTTATGGGCAAATATTGGCATTTTAAAGACTAAAGGGGAAAAATGTAAACAAATAAACAACATAATTACAAAATAACACATTTTAGGCAAAATGTAGTCACAAACTGAGGACAATATTTCCTGACATACAGGGTTTATTTAATTGTGTGAAAATGTAGCACGTTTAAAAAAATATACCGCGATAATACCGAAAACCGTGGTAATTTTGGTCACAATAACCGTGAGGTTAAATTTTCACACCGTGACAACCCTAATACAGACCATTTTAGATTAGGTTGCATTTCCTTTATTCCCAGATTATGTAGTTTGTAGCACTCATTATAATGTAGAAAATTTCTGGCCAATCCAGTGATCGGTATCGGTGATCAGCATTCTTTGACATCGGTATCGGTGATCGGCAACAAAAAACCTGATCGGTGCATCCCTACTGTAAATGTGGCAGTTACATGTGAATCGGTGGTGTAGTGACAATTCATTCAAAGATTCCAACATTTAAGGTTCCAAAATGTTGCCTGTCTGTGTCTCCAGTCATCCTTTCTTCTTTAGAGGAGTTCTGCTCTCTGACGTGGAACACAACTCATCATCTGAAGACAAATCAAAACTCTCCTGCAAGAGAATGGATTCTTCCTCCCCCAACTGAATCACAAGAACCCATATTTTGCAGCAGAGCCAAAGCCTCGGCAGCAATGTAGCCTTTAAGCATCTTTGTGTCATGTTTATCAAACCAAAGGTTCTTGCAGTAAACTGTCCTTCTTATTCCCAAGTTTATATTGTCATCACAGTTCACAATCCCGCCCACCGTCCAACACGCCACACCCAAGTCTATAGGGCTGCATGATGGCGCAGTGGTTAGCACTGTTGCCTCGCAGCACGAAGGTCGCAGGTTCGAAATTCTGCGGCCTTTCTGCGCGGAGTTGCGTGTTCTCCCCATGCATGCGTGGGTTTCCTCCGGGTACTCCGGTTTCCCCCACAGTTC